TCAAAGGATTGCTTTACCTGCCGCAAGCGGCTATGGATCTCGGCCAAATCGTGCCGCTGTCCAATTGATAACTCCATGTCATTGAAGACCATGGCCGAGAACAGGCTGGCAGTCTCAGGGGAGATCTTGAAAATCATCGGTTGTGACTCAAAGACGAATTAACGTCGCAGCAATTACTCGTGGCACACCCTCACCCTCCGAACGCGTCTCAGCAATCTGATCCTCACCTCACTTACACTCATGTTAATCTTAAACAACATTATCAACACGGAACCCGGGAGATAAATGGCAACCATTGCGCGAGCGGTCCGCTTTCAGGGCTAAGCGGAATAGCACGAAGCACGTGGAGAGCTCGGCATTGGGCACGTACTGATAGCCCTGCTCGATGAGACGAAAGCACGGATGCAGATCCAGCAGCCTCAGGCGCTTTTTGACCTTTGTTGGCAATTTATATGTGTTCACAATAGGTAGGACTTCGTGTAGAAATTTGTCACACGCTTCATGTGGAGTGAGATCTTCAATTCGTTCCAGACAGAAACATCCTGTATATAAAGAAGCCGGCACAAGCCGCTGCGTACTGAATCAAGCTATCGTGTAGGTGTGGCTCAGATGTTTGCAATGAAGATCTCTTCATCTACAGTTTCATTCATGTTATGTAGTACATATTAGTTAAATCATAGTTCGAAACGGCTCACAGTTTGGTATCTTTCATAAACTTATAAAATACATATAAAATATCTATCATATATTGTCCATTTGTATGCCGTTAAATTATGCTAAAATACTATTGCTTTTTACCCCGCGAGTGAACAATTTTAATTAGAATATTATGCGTATTCAAACAGTGCTTTGATTGGATTTAATTTCTGTATAAATGTGAAGCGATACTTCCATTTCAGTGCCGCCCATCCCTAATAAAATAATAAGCAAAGAAAACAACAAAATGGAGAAAGAACTGGAAGTTCAGTACATACATGAGGATGTATGTATATTTACCAAAAGGGGCAATGCGCTTATGACTTTCGCAGCCATTTAATTACACCACTCGACAAGATTTTTCCGCTTCGATCCAGTTATGATAAAAAAATAAGCGCCACCTCTAAAATAAATAGCTACCGTTACAAAAGAATACCCATTTAAAAATTCTTCAAACAAGTTGGTTTGCTTCGAAGCTGAAAAAAATGTTTGATTTTGTCGAGCAGTGTTATTTTTCCATTCCGCGTTGCCTTTCCTTGTTTTCTTCTGTCTATTTCTCCTTTTCTTTCGGGCCCGGCAACCACACACACGCACTCGTAAACATATTGCACTCTCTCTCTCTCCCTCTCTATAGTCTGATAAGCTGAATTTGAAAGCTCCAGAATCTAGATATGTTTTTATTTAGATGTTGAAATCTAATTACATAATTATTAGTGGGTTTATATTATTATTATTTTTACCCGCCTGTAGTCCCTGCCAGATATATATCCATGGCTTTCTTATTTAGGATTACCGTCTCTCGACGCCTGGGTATTGGCTGTATGTTAGGCAGCCGAGTACCGTTCACTGCGTTAAGGCTCATATCAGAGCTTGTAAAATCATCAGAGTGATAATAACTAGGTAAATACACCCAATTCCGTACATCTGCCGCCACTGCACTGGGCGTCGGGCGGGGATCGTCGGGCGAGACGACCATTTGGGTGGTCCCACTGGACTGTGATGAACTTGTGATGGTTATGGCACTGTCCTGCCTAGCTACCGACGCCGGCGACGAGGACGAGGAGGACAGATTGAGCTCATGATTGCCCAAGCCGCGGTAGTCGGCGAAGGCAAGCGCGAACCGAAGGCGGTGACGTGACCAGCAGCCCGCCCCTAGCAGCGACCGAAGGCTGCTCTGGACGGATCGATGGCTGCGGCCGCTGCTCCTGCTCCTCCTGTCTAACGCGAGTACTAACAGGTTCGGCGCCATGTCGGCGAACCGTTCGCGCTTGGGTTCCATCGGTTCCTTGTGTTTCTTATGCCAAATTACGAAAGCTTAGAGAAAGAAATATATACAAGTAGTAAGATTAGCTCCTGTGATCGAATTTATGTTTAAAGTGCAATTTTACCTCGATCAATAGTCTTGCGCGGCTCGCGTCCGTACAGTTTTGTTTTGAAAACGTAAAAGAATAGGCGTGTGAGAAGCAATACGAAAGCTTAGCGATGACACGGCCTTATCTATCATCTATTGTGAATAAGCAAGGCTCTGCCGAGGCGCTGCCGTTCACGTACACGGATATTACAGTGATTCGTACCAATACGAATGGATTGGGGTACCGTTTTGCGTGCGTCTTCAAACACAAACGAAAAAACGATGCGTTCCCTGCTAAAGACCAACCATACTTTCCCCCACCACCGAACACCATATGATGGTCTAATTACGCACAGCATGAACCTTTCCAGGTTTTATGAATAACCATAATTATTTAACATTTACCATCACTCTTTTTTTTTTTAGCCAATTTTTTAAATTTTTGTTGCTTCCTCTCCGGTACTCATATTTAATTTATATTTATTTCTATTCCATAATTAGCCGTCAATTCTAAATTAAAAATACATAAATAAATAAATACCATAAACCGTATATTTTCAATATTCAGATATTAATATATATTAATTTATATTTAGTTGTTCAGTGTTCATTAGTGGAATGAAGCTATATTAGCGAGCCTTCAAACTCCCTTAACAAAGCAAGGGAGCTTTCATGGTGAGAAATTTGTACCAAAAACTAAGGTGTCGACAACAGGCAAACAAGTCACAAAATTTCCAGTGGGGCCAAGTAAATTACACAGGCTATTTAAATCCTACGTGGAGGAAATTTTCCAGGGAAATTCTCTCCCTCCAGACGCTCTCGCATGCACCATTAGGGATCTTTCAGCAGGTGCGAAAGACGTGGGAGATGGAATAATTATTCCCTTTTTACTTGCTTCCCATACCTTGCGTTCACATGCCAAAGAGAGGATTAGGTCAGCAGAGAGCGATAGAGCAAGATTATCTCCTCTCCTCATTTTTGCGGTTCGATATCGAGCACAGAAATCCCACAGAAATATACCAAAAATAATAAACGTTCACACTTACATATAGAAGCACTATTCCTCGACTTTGATCTTCTATTTGATATTACTAGCTAGTTTTGAAAATGCGTGAAAATTTAATAAAATGAAAGCTAAATGGATCCATGCAGGAGATTACTTTTAGTGGGATTGGCGGCTCTATCATTACCGGTGGAGGAGGACAATCAACGAAATGAGCGCCGACAACATTGAGTAAACCCATTTCTGCAGGAAAGAAACCAGGAGGTTCTTCGACCGTTTGTCTATATGTACATGTGAGTATTATAAATCATATAAATATCTGACAATACCCTTTAAAAACCTCATTTGATAACGGAGACAATTAACACACGCAATGCGTGCTTCATATCGTTTGAAGGTCTGAAGGCAGCCTTGGAATTTCCTGGAGTGCATCGGCTTTACTCGGAATCAAGATCTAGATATATATTGCAAGTAAATGAAGTAGAACATATAAGAGCGAGCGACAAAGTGCTATATCTGCTTTTGGTAGGCATTTTATGATACACTTAATATCTGGTATATGTATGAGAAACGTTCTATTTGTGCTCCCTCAGAGGCGTGTTGATGGGGGGAAGGTCGATACTCTAAGTGCATGCCTGCTCTCCGAGTCGTTGGTTCTGTTTACGCACAGCGTCAATAACTTTCGCCTGGCGTCTGAAATGGTCAACAAAGCCACTTATCGCACAAGCCTAAGCAGCTACGTACAGTAAGGTACTATCCATGAAGACCTGCCAGACTAATGACTTTGTTTTTGCAGGAACACCTTTAAAAAGATCTTCAAGGAAGCCAAGGCCATGGAGTCGTCCACTCAAGGCAGGCTGGACCTCCTACGCAGCGTCAATGGGCTACCCACAGAAAAGGAGCTCAAAGAACTATTG